TCGGAGCTTTGAAGACTCAACTTCCAGATCTGGTTCTTGGCGATTGTTCGCTGGAAAATTCGTTGCTTTCTTTGTTATTGATTCCATTGTCATCTTGAGTTACAACTTTTTGAGTTACAAAAGATCCGGTCTTTTTATAAGATCCGGTTACAACGAAAATCAAATAAAAATAAACAAAGATTACAACTTTTCTCCTTTATGTCGAACGAATCGCGAGCTCCTGTTTTACGGTCGCTCGCTTGGTGGGTTCCTTGCCTGCGCCGGGGTTGTTTGCCGTGGACCACCGCGAGATCTAGATCCGGTCGGATCTACGCAGTACGACGGGTATTATTTCACCAAGGAAATAATAGCCGGGGAGGATTGTTTCACCAAGGAAACAATCGTCCAAGTCTCGGGATCTAAGACCAAGCCTAGATCCGGAGTTCGTACGCGTAGATCTGAGATCTGATCCTCTCGAACACCTGCCTTATTTGACGTTGATGATCGCCGAGCACCAGATCTGAAGGAGTGAGTCCCCGAAGTCCCAAAGTTTCAATCTTTTTTAAGTTCCGAGTCTCCAATCCAGCAGGGCTTCGCCTCTCTCCAAAATTTCCAACCTTCTCAAATGACAAGGGGGTGGCCTATTTATAGGCTCTCAGGACAGTGCCCGCAAAAAGAGAAACGTCGGCCACCGTCGGCCACTGTCGGCCACCTCGAGGTGGCCGGCACTGTGCCGGCCACCTCTGGCCACTGTCGGCCACCTCGGGGTGGCCGGCACTGTGCCTAGCCACCTTGAGGTGGCTCGGCTCATGGCCGAGCCACCCCAAGGTGGCTCGGCCACCGAGCCACTTAGGTGGCTCGGCCGAGCCACCACTTGGTGGCTCGGCCACCGAGCCTCCTTGGTGGCTCGGTGAGCCGACCTCCAGGTGTTTGTCGTTTTGCCTCTTTGTGCCCGTTTTCCGGTTTTGTAGTTGATAGGTTCGGATTCGATTTGCTGATCTGATTTGGCAGTAAATCCGGATCCCGATTAGGCAGTAAATCCGCTTCTGAGTTGGAGTCCGAAACCGATCTTGATTCGATCGTCATTCGTCCGAGTATGCCTTTGGTTGGATGACTCGTTGACTCTTCGAACACTTGGCTTGATCCCGCACGTGTATGGATGCATTCCGTCGCTTGATGCGATTCGTCGATCTCGTCGCCTCGTTGGTTCGTCGGTTTGTACTGAGCTGAGCTAAGGGACCTATAAGCAATTTTATATGCCTACAGATACCCCCTCCAAAGTATTTCAGTCTCGTTCTTTTATAGAAGAGTCTGGAATACTTTGGATATGATTGCCTCCCACCTTCAGTCGGTGTAATGAGACCTTGGAATGATTTCCGTTCTTGATTCCTTTAATTCTCCAGGCTTTTCGATGCTTTGTCGAAAGTCTGTAAGAGTTACGGTGTTGCATTTATTGTCTGACCGTTTGTCGGAATTTTGAACTTTGAAGTCGATTCCTGATTTTTGATCTTCAGCTCGTAGAATTGACCATCGATTGCTGGCGTTGAGTTTTTTTGTGCAACGCGTTGTCCGGCGTTGTGTTGTTTGAGTTATCCTTAAGAATATTTTTTAGAAAAATACTCT